GAAGTTGGACTACCCTGTCAATATGTGTTTGCAATAGTTGAACACTGAAGTAGGTCATTGTTGACAGCTCAGTTCTTAGATGTTTTCCATATATTCCAATAGGGGCTGGAATCAGTGGGCTGTCCCCTGACTTTAACCCTACCTAGACCGGGGCCGGGGGGGGGGGCTAAAAATGCCCGCGCCAACTTTGATGTCACCTAGCGTCTGAACGGCTCGTCGTAGAACGGCCAAACTTGGTGACTTTTCCTAAAATATTGTTGGCAACAATTATCTATCATTGGAATAAGATAATAATTTTTTGTGTTTCCATGGCAACGGGTTTCTGGCAGGCATTTTTTGCTAAATTTGGTACTTTTTGTTTCAACAATAGAATTTTATGGGTTTTATGTCAAGTTACTTATGTTTTAATAAGACATAAAAAGGTATCATTTAAAGGATGTTAAGACGATAATTTCATTTTAATTTGACGAAATTTACCCCTAAATACTATTTGTTTATTTTCAAATATTTTACGGGTAGTCCAAAACAGGCCAAAATAGCGTCTTGTAACCCGATACTTTTTAGAACGCGCCTAGCAATGGGAAAGAATGCCGTAGTGACAGACCGCCGTGATTTGAAATTTCACTTATATAAGTCACGCCGGGGGGAGGGCCTAGGGAAAGAAATTGAGCCGGAAGAGGGTGTCGGAAATAATTCTGACCTGGGGGGAGGGCCTAGGAATTTTTTTTACGCTACGCTCGGAACGCAACAATAGAATTTTATGGGTTTTATGTCAAGTTACTTATGTTTTCTAATATTAATAACATCCCATATATTTTTATGTAAATTTTGTCATTAAATATGCATAATTTATGCTAATTTGATGACGTCATTGGCCAAAATCCAAGATGGCGGACCATATCATTAGAACAGGGTGGGAAGGGGTGGGGTGACTCAATGCTTTATGGGAATTTAGGCTTGTTACAAAATGGCCGCCAAGCAAGATGGCGGCTCATGGAGTACATGTTGGAAAGCAGATCACAGTTCACCAGGATGACCACGTAAGACTACATACCAGGTACGCATAGACGTAGGATACATTGGTGCTTCATCTTTCATGTGACTTGTACTTATAGAAGAGCCGATTGCCCTGTTTCTGAACCTTTCGTCCTGGGAAACTGCAGTTTGTGCCCTCTGACGACATTAAAATTTGATCTGTGATAGTATGGAAGTTCGAAATCGCATTTAAAGTACTGATTTAATTACTACTATATGGGCCCTTTTAACACTGAAAACCTGAAAATAATCAGTGGAACCGATGTCGAGAAATTGAATCCACAATGTATTTGCCCCCCTCCCACCCACTGAACAAAGTGTGTTTGGTTCAAGCGCTGGCATAAATTCAAAAATATGACACGATCTTTTTGAAAGTGGGATAAAACTTCAATACATATATCAAACCAACATATTCCGGAATATGAAAGAAATCAGGACTTTTGATCCAGAAATAGAGACTGTCAAAGTTGCTTCAAATTTGGGCAGCCATTTTGTTTACACCATGTGAACTTCAAGCACTGGCATAAATCATAAAAATTCAACTGATGTTCTGCAAACTGAAATCAAACATGACTACATACATCACTCCAACACATTCTGGAATATTAAGGAGATGACAACTTCTTATGCAGAAATATAGACTGTCAAACTTACCTAAAATTTAGTCAG